GAATCATAATAATGGATGTTTTCTACTCTGTTGGGTAAAAACCAAATTTAATAATTGCATTAAAAAGTTTTGTCATAATATGTTTCTTATTAGAGAATCGAATTCTATGGGGAAATAAGGAGAATTAATGTTTTTTGTCATTTGGACACAGATTTTGAATATAATTATATTGGTTTGGTCTCCCTGCTTAATGCAATTGTAAATCTTCTTTAGGCATCCTTGAATAAGGTTTTCGCTGAAGGGGACCTACATGTAAAACTAAATTCTTACTATTTGTTATATGTCACTATTTGCATGTACTTTTGGATGTGTAAATTTTTTTGTGTTTAGGGGTGGAGTTTCCAATTGCTGAAATCAGAATTGAGTTAAAAAACGAGTTGCGTCCTCAATATCAGATTTCCACTTTGCCTTGTAATTTGTGTGTATGTGTAAACTAATGAACATTTTATTTTTTTAGACAGTTTGTTCTAGGACTTGTAAGGCTATAGAAACAGTCATGTAACTGAGGACCATCAAGTAAACAAAGTGTAATTAGAGAAAGGTCAGAAGACATATCGCAGCTTTTGTATGTTGAGATAGAATTTCGGGTTATGCCTTTGGACACGGCGAAGTGCATTAGGTCTAGTATGTTGTTGTTATCTGCAGGCCAATATGTTGACTGCGTAGGAGAGATTACGTCTAGTGCATTTTTTTTATTTAGAATGGAATTAATTTAGAAAAGCTGTTTACCTTTTGGATTACAAAGACGTAAACTACAATACGTGTGTTTGGCGTTGTAGTTTTTTGCTGTAAGAAATCGGTCACTTAGAGTTACGAAGTAAACCGTAAATTGCGTCTCAGTAATGTTGAAACGAGGAGGGCAGTAAACTGCCGACAAAGTTAATTCTTTTGCTTTTTGCTTAAGGCATATTGATGTGGTTTCCATATAATAATGACCATATAGATATAAAAAATTCGGCTATAGCCCCCTTCCTACTAAAGTACCTTTACCACCTTTACCACGAATACGAACCAGTGTACCAGATGATGTTTGTTTATATTGCCTCTATTTATTTATCACATTATATATATAATGTGCTTATTTATTTCATATAATTGTTTTTGTATACATTCATACACATAGCCAATAAACTCTGCGTACACCTTACGAATTTTGATATGTGATAAAGAAACACAACATAAATAAATATTTTTAATTAAAATTTTTACATATATTTATTCTTTGAATTATTAAGTTTAAATAGCAAAAGACAAAAATTGTATTCGACTATTCATTCCAGAGATTAAGGGATAAAAGTGTGCCTGCATGTAAAAATAGGCCCCATAAAGTCTGCGTACAGTTATAAAAAAACTGATATAATCGGTAGAAATAATAAAAATAAGGTTAAATTTAATACTTTGTTGGGTAACCACGCTGTTTTAGAACTTCACTTAATCTATTTGGCATGGAATTAACCAACTTCTGAGTTTCTTCAGCAGTAAATTTCGCCCATTCTGTTTGCATTGTACTCCGCAAAGCCTCTTTACTTGTTATCACATGCCGACGAATTCTTTTTTCCAATAAATACCAAAGATTCTCAATGGGGTTGAGCTCAGGTTATTGTGGAGGCGTTTTAAGCTGTCTTGGAACGCTGTACAAAAACCAAAGTTTAACAATCCCCGCTGTGTGTTTTGAGTCATTGTCCTGTTGGAACCAAAATGACGTGGATAAGCCCAAATTATCTGCACATTGTTTCCAATTTCTTTTAAAATGTTTAAATAACCCTATAAATTTCAACTGACCTGCACCATCACCCACCATGCACTCCCATATCATAACTCCACCACCGCCGTGTTTGACTGTACCAACAAGATTTTGTTTCTCTAACGCTGCTCCTGATTTCCGCCACACAATTTGGCGACCTTTTATAGCAAAGATGCATAACTTGCTTTCGTCTGAAAATATCACTTGTTTCCAGAACTCCGGAAGTTTATTTATGTATTTGTTTGCAAATTCAATTCATTTCAACGCATATTTTGTCTGTTTACAAGTGAAATATACGGTTTCTTTCTAGCGACTCTACCACGATATCCAGCTTTATGTAATACTTTCCTAGCAGACTCCACACAAATACTTTTTTTAAATGATTGTGTTATATATTTCACAATTTTCGAAGAAGAAATGAAAGGGTTCATCTTTATCATATGGACTATTTTCAACTCTTCTCGGACTGATAAAACTTTTGGACGCCCAGGACGCGGTTTAGATGTTAAAATTCCGGTTTTTTTGAAGTTGTCTACTACGCGCTGGATTGATGAATGCGTTCTTCCAATAGTTTTACCAATTTTTCGGAAACTTTTCCATAGTTTAATAATTATTTTTCTTTCGTACACACTAATTTCTTTTCTCCTTGATTCCATACTTTAAAGTAGTTACTACTTAAAAATTAATTGATCACTGAGATCGGTAAATGTTCAATTCAAATGTTAAATAATACCAAATGAGCAAAAATAAGAACAAACTGCTTAAAAATTAACGGTAGTTTTTAAACAAACAAACTGTACGCAGACTTTACGGGGCCTATTTTTACATGCAGGCACACTTTTATCCCTTAATCTCTGGAATGAATAGTCGAATACAATTTTTGTCTTTTGCTATTTAAACTTAATAATTCGAAGAATAAATATATGTAAAAATTTTAATTAAAAATATTTATTTATGTTGTGTTTCTTTATCACATATCAAAATTCGTAAGGTGTACGCAGAATTTATTGGCTATGTGTATAAGAAATTATATTTTGGCTTTGTTCTTATAAAATTGTTTTAGACACATATACTACTTATCCGTTAATTCATACATCACTGATACCCAAAAATTGAGTTGTAATTCCACGCAAAAATTCAAAAAGTTTTTTATGATGTGCAATCATTATATAATTGATTATATAAAAAACATAAAATGGACTTTCCATTGTTATCCTAAAACATTTAATCAGGTCAATCAGTCTCGGATTTTCTTCAGTATGAAATTATTAAGTATTACTACTTATTTCTAACACTTAGAAATTAATTATGCAAACTAATAAAAGAAATATATTGTATTATCTTGATTTTTTTTAGAAACAGATATTACTATTTATGTCGCCTTAAACTGTTGGTGTTGATTAATCAAATTTTGGTCATCAGTCAAAGTAGTACCAAAAATTTAAACTTATATCGACTGAAATCAGAACAATATTATAACGCAAATTAGAGAAACTATTTTGATTTCATTATAAAACTGTTTCTATTTCAAGACTAAAAGCATAAATGATAGTCCTAAATAGGTGGTTCACTTATTTGAATAAAGTTAGAACAAAGTGCATAGCTAAATTGACATATTATTTTAGTAAAGAACTCCTTGCTTTGCAGATATGTACTTAAAATCACCAAATTTAAAGTTTTATAATTCGAATTTATTAAACAACCAATTTAGTCGTCAATCTGTTTGCCAGAGACTGCGGCTCAGTTTTCACCGTTTGACACTTCTAATATTTCTTTTCTTTTATTCTGTAAAAGTGTTCTTCTGTGAAAGACTTCTGTGTGGAAGGAAAATTTTTTTTGAGCGTGGAAGTCGTTGATATGGGGGAGTTTCTATAAGTCACTTGACTTAGGCACTTAACTCAGTCAGAGTTAAGTTAATACTGATGCTGTTATACCTTCTTTTATAAATACCAAAATTTAATAAATAAATGGTAAATAATAAATAAAAATACAAATTCGATTCTGTGAAGGAATTTGAGTTTTTAAAAGTAAAATGAATGAAGTATAAATGACTAACTGCATGCTTTTCTGTCATAACTTTCCTTAATTTGTTACAACTATTGTTTCATTGTTGGAAATACATTAACATTATAATTGTTTAAGTTCTTCACTGCAATAAACTGAACAATTGAGAAAGAAAGAGGCAGGAGAATTGAGAAAGAAATCAATATCAAACCCATTATAACTCATATTAGAGACAAATCAATAAACCTATTCCAAAAAGTCTGCCTATCGACAAATCCCGCATTGTCGAGCCTACAATTAATCAACAACAATAACCCAGCACGGACATCATAAATAGCGAAATCACCATAATCTCGCCCACATAAGGGTGTAAAGGTTTTTATGCCCTAACCAACTCCAGATGAAAACACAGTGAAGGGAACTGGGCAATATAGCCAAAAAGGAATTTTTCAAGTTCAAATTATGAGCATTAACGAACGATTTTACTATTTTGTTACTATTGAACAATTTATTAGAATAGACTATTATTAGTAGTCTGTTCTATATTAGGTAATTACTATATTAGACCTATTGTTCTAATACTTCTTATAAAATGCATAAATTAATATATCAAATTAATTTCTTTTATCCATAATATAAATGTATTTATTTTATTCTTAGCAGATACATTCGTTACATTCGCAGATACATAATCTTACAATAAATGTTTCATAAAATATATTTATTTAGAATTAAAAAGCAGACTGTTTTTCGGCGTATTACATACGAGTATATATATGTTGTATATTTTTAAATGAAATAATATCAATTGGAATGGATGCAAGCAGTTTGTTGACCATAAAATGCGGATTTGTTTTGCATTTTTTATGCGGGTACATTGTAAAGATTTTCTGCTTACAAATACATATATCTGTAACTATACTCAATGAGAAAATGAATACAGAAACTATTTATTTTATTTTATGTATGTATCTAGATAAAATAAATTATTTGTATCAATTTTTATCCTAATAGAGTTGAGTTTCCTATATGCAACTTGATTGCATCAATCAACGCATGCACTAAATGCACACCTGAGAACAACCAACGCCTAGATACAGATACGTCTAAAAGTCCAAAATAATTTTAATTATTATATCAATATTTGAAAATCTCTTTTGAAATGAGAATTTAAAATTTTGCCTAAATGTAGTAATATTGCGTTGAATTATTTATAAGCACGAAAATTTTAGTTTTTGGTTTTTCCATTTTTAATGACACTAATTATTAAAACATTTTCAGAACAGATAAGCAACTAAAACAGCAACATCATTACATACAATAACATCAGCAAAAGCAATAACAAATTCATTTGGAGAATATTGACAAGTTGAAATTTCGTTTCTATGTATACCAGAGAACTCTGCTGGCTTATTTGATTTAAGAAATATACAAAACCTTAGAGGGTAATCCAATAAAATTCACAACAACTTCCATATTCCATTAAAGATAAACAATGACTTCACGGTAAGTAAAATATAAATAAAGTTCTGATATATATGTATATGAATAGAAAACAGCTGTATAAATATGTATATATATCTATATATATGAATGATAAATTATAATTTTTTACGAATACTTATAATCCATTAAATATAGATTGGATCGTTTATTCATATTATTGGAATCCGGTTCTTCCGCTGTAACACGACGTGCAGCTGCTAAGCAAATTGGGGAAGTACAGAAATTGTATCCTCATGAGTTACACGCGTTACTTAATCGTCTTATTGGTTACTTGCACAGTTCATCATGGGATACTCGCATTGCTGCTGCACAAACAGTTGAAGCCATATTACTTAATGTTCCAGTATGGAAACCTGAAGTTTTTGCTGCAAGTAATAGTGCCATAAAGCGTGAAATAAAGAAAGATGATTTAGAGGAGGACAGTTGTCAATCTACTAGTTCAGCTTCATCATCCATTGCAACTGTTGCAAATAGTGTTACCGAAGCTAAAAATCGCTTTTTATTATTTAATGAATTTAATTTAGAACAAATATTGAATAAGGGGGCACGTTTAATTGGTTCCGAAGGGGCTGAATTCGATATGAATGAAGATGGAACTTCGATAGCCACTAAAGCAGAACACTTAAGCCAACAGCGTGCTATGCTGAAAGAAAAATTAGACTTAGCTCAAATATTAAATATTAGTGAGATGATTACGGATGAAGACATGTGTAGCAACACCGCTACGTACAATATTAATGATGAAAAGGTATAGCACTAATTTTGAAAATAATTAAAAGATGTTGATACATTTAATAGTAAATAAATATATAGTATAATATATGTGTATTTATTGTATGTTATTATGAATTAATTTGTTTGTTAATTTTAAGGTTCCTGTTGAAAGCATTCTTAATATTAAACCTAATCATAATTTAATACCCTCAAATGGGCAGCAATTAAGCTGCCGTGAAATGAACCGTGCCAAACGTAAAGCACGTCAAAACATGTCCTCGGCCAGTGTCACCACGACTGTAGCAACGTCAACCACCAACACAATAAATCGCAGCACTTCTTTATTGGGCAATAATGGTATAAAGAGTGATGAACCCGAAAAGAAAAAATTTAAATCTGATCCTCAAAGGCAGGAAATATTTTATAGCCTAAACGGTGTGTGCTTAATTTTTGTTTTTGTTATCTTATTTTCTCCTGAAATAATTAATAAAATAATATTTATTTTATATATTTTTTTTTCAGATCCTGTACCAGATGCTACAGGAACTTGGATAGATGCGACAAATTGGCCATTAGAAAATTTTTGCGCACGCTTGTATCTGGATTTATTCAATCCCAAATGGGAAATACGTCATGGAGCTGCTACTGCTTTACGAGAACTGATTCTTATTCATTCGAAAGGAGCAGGAAAGAGTATAAACATGACAAAAGAAGAAGTTAGTATATGAATACAAATGAATGAAGGTAATTACTTGATAATCACCACGACTGTTTAATTATGATTTAGATGGAAAATAATCACAGCTTGTGGTTGGAAGATGCTGCTTTGCGTTTGCTTTGTGTGCTATGTTTAGATCGTTTTGGTGACTTTGTTTCAGATCAAGTAGTTGCGCCAGTCCGTGAAACATGCTCGCAAGTGTTGGGTTTAATTGTTAAAGAAATGGAAGCAGAACAAGTGTATAACATTGTGGATATTTTACTAAAATTATTAAAAGAAAATGAGTGGGAAGTACGTCATGGTGGATTGTTAGGTTTAAAATATGTATTTGTCGTGCGTCAGGATTTATTGGAGAAATGTTTACCACGTACTATAAATGATGTGCTAATTGGTCTGTTTGATACAGTAGATGATGTTGGTGCTGTAGCTGCATCTACGCTTACACCAGTTGCTTTATGGTTGCCAAAATTATTGACTGCTGAGCAGGTGTCAAAAATTGTTAAAATGTTGTGGGATTTGTTATTAGATCAAGATGAACTCACATCTGCTTGTAATAGTTTTATGGGGCTGCTCGCAGCTTTATTATGTCTTCCTAATGCATCTTCATGGTTGCAGTAAGTATAAAAAGAAATTGTTATGTTAAAAAAAATGGCTTATTTTGTGTCCATGTACTTAGAATGGAGCCCATGTCAACAGTTGTACCGCGCTTATGGCCTTTCCTTTCACACAATTCTAGTTCGGTACGCAAATCAACTTTAATGACTTTAAAAACGCTTTCCACAAATAATGCAAAAACTGAATATTCGCCAAAAAATGTAAAAACGAAAACTGAATTAGTTCCTGAAAATGCTTCTAGTATCGGTTTATCCACAATGAAGCTTAATTTTGATTCAAAAAATTTAACGCTAAACTTTGGTGTCATAGACTGGCAGCCAAAATTACTTCAAGAAGCTTTACGTCATATTTATCAACGAATTCTAGTCGAATCACAGACTGACATTCATCAACTTACTCAACTTGTTTGGATGAATCTTATTACAAATGCTAATATAGGCGCACTGTTGCATGCAGCATGCCCCTATGTTTCATCATGGATTTGTTTAGCTATGCAACCTCAAAGACTTGCATTTGATCCAGCAGCTTTAATACAAGCCACCCCAACTAGTGATGCATCACTAAATCGTCGTCGTATACAAAGAAGTGGTGATGATTTAGGGTGTAATATTTTAACTTCAATCACTTCTCAAAAGTTATT